ATTCCTGGAACCTCGCCCTTGAGGAAGCATCCATCGATGGAAAAAATTGGCCTACAACCAGCCAAAACCCCTTTCTCAAGCTGGAAAACCCAACATAAAACCTTTTGAAATGCACCTTCTCAGCCACTTGCACATCCGGCTCAACTTCAAGTTCGAACCATCCCTCAGGATCTGCTGCTATTAGTGCAGCCACATAACGACGAAGCTTGTTATACTCTTGTTCAAGAGTACCACATAACATCTCTTTAGCAATGGCCCTCGCAGTATAACACACCTTCAATTCAACATCAACTCCAAGCTCACGTTTCACCTCCATCGCAATAAGTGGGGCTTTCCAATCTGACTCACTCTTGAAACGCTCAAGGAAGTGCTCGGCAATAAACCTAGCAGTTGCTAGGTTTACTCGAGTCGACCTAGTGCATGAGTGAGGCAACCCAACCCTTCTGACCATAAAAAACGCATTCCCTGACCACCAGGCAGCATAAACCCTCCAAGAACAATTCTGGTCTTTGCACCTGTACTCCCTCCTACTTTCATCACTTTTTTTACACCACACACTAGCCCCAGCAGCCACAGCATGGTTTGAAATTGCCTTTTTAAAGTCTTCAACATCCAAAAACTTCATCCCAACTGTGAACTCCAATGCTTTGTGATCACAATCTGGATCGTAGAAAGACAGATCATCAAACATATCTGCGGGTTCCTCATCCAACAAACCTGTTCTTCTATGGGCAAAAACCGAGACCTCATTTTCGCCATCTTCTTCATCTTCATCAGGAATGTAGTCTCCATCATCTTCTTCCTCGTCCATGTCACCAGCATCTCCCATAGGCTGATCCACCTCTTCCCTGCTTCACTATCTGGACTGTTGACCATTGGAAGATGAGCCTGCTTCTCAGATGACTCCTCATCTCTAGAGTCAGCCACGTGCATTATCTCCTTAGCAACCGAATATTCCCCCACTTCAAAGTAGTCATCATCCTTTTCAAGCCTTGCTATGTTGTCCGTAGTGTCATTGTGACCCATCAAACCATCATCAGCCTCGACACAATCAACAAACAGTGAGACCTCCTTAGTCTGTGTTGTATCAACCAGCAGACCCTCCATGATTTCCTTGTCGGTCATGATTTCGTGTAATCCCTCTGCCATTGTGGCTCCAGGAGTCAAGTACCACATCTTCCGGACTCCGTAGTAGTTCAAGTATCCAGTGCACAAAGAAAGAATCCCAAAGTAGGAAACTTCATCAACATCCACCTTGAACTTCTCCGAAAACCCTCCAACATACTTTCGGGAATCACTAGAAAAATCCATCACTCCTCCATGATGGAAATCCAGATTGATATATTCAGTCATCTGTAGCAAAAGGTTAGAATTAGGTTAAGGGTTTGAAACCACAAAATCACAGATTAGGGTTCGTAAAAGGGTTCGAAAATGGAGAAGGGATTTCGTCTTTGAATCAAAATTTCAGAAGGATTAGGGTTTGAATCGAAAACCTAGAACCAACTTACCTTGCTCGAACAGAGACAGTTGTCCGGAGGAGATGGAAGCGATTCGGCGACAGTCCTTGCTTGCTTTCTCTGCAACGATTCGGCGACACTCCGTTGCTTGCTTCAGATCGATTCTCAGTCGTACGTCGGGGGGAGAGATGGAAGCGTGGCGCTGGGTGCTGGGACAGTCCGCGCGGGGAGGTTTAACAGGCGACTGCAGCGCTTGCTGCCTCGCCTGCTGGAGAATGAAGCTTCGTCGTCGGCCGATGGAAAGGAGAAGCTGGGGAGACAGAAGAGGATGGGAATCGAATGGTTCCTTTTTTTTTACTTTACTCACGCGATTATTTACTTTACAAATCATTTTTTTAATTAAAAACCACCACGTAGGATTCCACCTCATTCGGACGCTGCTGAGTCAATAAACGTAACAGAACAGTTAACGGTGGGGTAACGATTGGATAATAAATAGAATTTTGATAGGTTTGGGTAAAATAGAAGAATTTTGAAAAGGTTTGGGTAAAAAAATAGACATTGCCCTTTAGCAAATGCATCAATAATGTAGTCCACATCCATACCAATAGTATACACTGTCCCAAATAAAATACTTGAGCAATTGGCAAGAAATTCATCGCTCATTTATTGTGCAAATCCGTTTTTACATGTTTCTTTGTTCAAAAGGTTCTCTCAGGTTCTCTCTGTAGTAGTTGTTGAAACGAACAGTGTCAACACTAGACAAATCAATATCAATTTGCATTATGTGTCCATCCCTACACCACCAGTTGTCTAGTAAATTTTCAAGGTAACAAACCTCATATGTCTTTTAGTCTGTTATGCTTTAGAATTTTAGGTTTCATTGCTTTTTTAGATAAAAAAATCTTTGGGGCTAGAATTTCTAGGCTAAATTTAGAGTAGTGCTTTGAATATGTTCATCTAAATCAATTTGCTAATTATATCCCATTTTATTATAAAATAGCATTGGGCCGAATATCTAAAATCGAAAAATTCATAAGGCCTATACTAACTATGGATCCAGAGGAGGGCTGGGCTGGGGCCTGAGGTGGCCACACCCTAGATCCGCCACTGATCACAACTTCCAAACGACCCAGATCCCATACATAGAATATCAAATGCGCTCTTGTGTATTTCTATTTTATTAATTAGTTCTTTTCTAATATTCTTAAAAACGGAACATTGCTATAAATTATAATTAAGAACAATCAACAAAGACAAGCATCGCAAATGAACGACACATATAGTTAAGTGGCACATTTGATAAAATGTGTGCTAATGACGTTCACGAACCTAGAAAAACGAATATCACCATTTTGAGTGGAGAGTACAACTGCAAAGTGGTTAAAAGGTATATATATATAATAACGTGTCCTGTCCCCTTGACGTTACACAAAAAAATAAACAAAAACTACTAAAACCAAATATCTGGTTGTTCAAATGGTTACCATGGTTATAATCAAACCAAATAAGACTAAATTTCATTAACCATGGAATACAATATCCTAACCAAACCGTCCAAACTAATACAACAACCAAATTAACCAAACTAAAGTTTAATCGGTTTGGTTAATTGGTTAACCAGATTAACCAATATAAAATAACATTATCATTGACGATGAAAATTTTCCGGTTAATGCAACAATTCGCAATTTATATAATGAATAAAACATAACAATCAACACGTAAATATAGTTGACCCTTAACAAAAATAGATGCAACTAAGACAATTATCTTACGATTAGTATAGAAGTATTCACCTAACAAAAAATTATGACAATGGTATGGGTTAATGAATTGTTGTGTTTGTGTAAATTGACTTAGTCTCTTGGCAATTATCATAGGCTGGAAATGACCTTCCTTTCAAGTTTTCATTCATCATAATATATGAAATTTATCTAAATTAGGCGTCCATATGTTGTGGTCTAGACTTTACATATACAAATATACACTATATGAGCAATATTGAGCTTTATATTTTATGAGTCTAAAAGAGATGAACGTTAACTCTTGAGTGGTTATGCAAAATATTATGTGTATATAATATATGTTACATATATGACAAATTACTTAACTGGTTAATTTGGTTTGACTGGTTAGGAGTGTCTGAAACCAAACCAAACCACCTAAACCAAACAAGCTAAAACTTTAACCAAACCAAACCAATTATCCAAATTAACCAAACTAAATTATCCAAATTAACCAAACTAAATTATCCAAATAGTACCGGTTAAAACGGTTACCACGGTAACCAAACCGTTTGAACACCCCTAAATATAGATGCACATAGTTTGCATGTACTCTCTTTATAGCATGGTCGATGAAATTGTAGTGTATCGGCAGTTCAACCATGAAATATCAATATTGGAGACTAAATTGGTAGGTAGTATTTAACGGTACTAACGGTTGAATTACGATTAAACCACAGGTTTTTCATAAAATATCCTACCGCTGACTTTTCCGATACGATCTCCGGTACGGTTTCATGGACCTTGCTTTATAATAGGGGGTGGGGAATGTGTGGATAGGGTGGGTTTTAGTATAAAAATGACTCACCCACTTACTTAACGGGGTGGTACAATTATGATCTACAATCTATCCACATACTTTTTCAGGTTGGGTAGGGTGGGTGGCGGATGGGTACAATTGGGTTGTGGGTTAACCTGCTAATACAGTTCTTCAACTAGTAATGAGGCAAGTTGACTAACATTTATAATAAATCCCTCGCAAATTAGTAAAATTGCATCAATTTAGATACCTTAAAATTTGTCTCATAAGGAGAGTCTAGTACTCGTATCAAATCTGTCATACTTTATCAACCAATTGTGTAGAGAAGGTTCACATTTTTATGCGACCTAAATACAATTAATAATTATAATTTGAATCTCAAAATCAAATAGACATCATACATCATAGCGAGCAATAGTAGTAGCACAAAATATTATGCATTTTCCGTACTTAGAAGTTGATAGTTAGTACGTATAGTGTCGGTTAAGAAATACAATAACTATTTGGTAGTATTTAATATATACAAGCAACTATTCTCCATGTAAAGATAAGGTGCAGATCATTCAAGTGACCCGCAACCCACCCATCACCCATCCGATAAGTGTGGATCAGAGATTTATTGATCTACAATTCATCCGCATCGATCACACATTCACGGCGGTTTGGTTCGATGCCAAACCTCGGAGTTCCCACTCATGTGCCCAACCCCTAGTTTAGGCTCCATTCTACTAATATATGATTACAAATTCAAAGATGTTCCAACGAACATCAACATCAAAGTTAAACAGCTATGATAATGGTGAAACTGTAGGAGAGATCAAACTACCACACTCCAAAAATAAAAGCAGAGAAACAATCTTTACACAATCAAGAGATCAAACCATCGAATTCAACAAGACCCAATTACTCAATCTCGTCGAACCACAAAACAGAACAAAAGGCTAAATCTTAATCAAAGAGAAAATCTATCAAACTAAGCTTATCATCTGACGCTCATCAATCTCCACGTCTCACGATGCCAAAACAAATCCCCTGCTGCTGCTGCAGGTGCTGGAACCCGGCCGTCGGCGAAACCAGAGGCGTAAGCAGAGGAATCGGATCTTTACCAGTACCCGATCCGAACCTGGCCGGGCAACTTTGAGGAGAAACGGAGGCCGAATCCGGCGTTGATGATGAAGAAGAAAAGAACCGCTGCTGCTGCTGCTGTTTCTGCTGGTTCTGGGTAATCTGATTCAGGGGAAGCGGGGAAGGCGCGCGTCTCTGTAACCTTGTCAGCACCCTATTGTACTCCAGCTCGTCCATGTGGGCACCGTACCCCTGCTGAAAGTGGAACCCTGGGAACGACGCCGCCGTCGCCGAAGCAGAATCCCCTGTTTCCGGCACCGTATCCATTTTGATTTGGAACGGAGATCTTGTGGGTAGTGAATTTTTCTACTACTCTGTTTCAGGAAGGAATCAATATATTGATTTTATCATATACGAACGTTAAATGGGTTGTTATTAATTTATGACTTGGGCTCCTGTCTGGGTATGGTGGATGGAGCTTTCTCCATTTCTCGCTTGTTGTTATTATTATTGAATTGGGGACATGAGAGATCTGGGAGAAATCCAATATTATAATTGTAAGGTGTCATTGTTGTTGGTTGGTTTTGCTCTGTTTTTTACAGTAAAAGAGCAGTGGAGTGACTGACAGGGCACATGAACCATGGTCGGTCCTTCCCTTCTGGTTTATGAAGTTGGACTTGGATTTGTCTCTCTGTTTCCCGAGGAATTTTACAATGCTATATAGTATTGGTGATATAGGTTTTTACTCTTATGGTATAACTTGAAATTGTACTTTTAATGTTATGGTACACCTTCAGATTGTACCTATACTTTTTGTACAAATTCTTTTATGGTACAACTTAAACTTGTACCTTATGTGATGGTACAATTTCAAGTTGTAAAATTGTACTATAACATAATGATACAAATTCCTTTATGGTACAACCTAAACTTATACATTTAATGTTATGGTACAACTTCAAGTTGTACATTAAGGGGTCGTTTGGAAGTTGCGATTGTTAAATAGATGTATTGTTGAGAATGCATGATTAATATTATACATGTATTGTCGAATTTGATGCATTGTAGAATACAACGTTTGGTATGTGTGATTGTGTATGTCGCATCAGCTAAAAGCTGAGACAAAACAATCTCAACTAAACTATCTCAACAATCACAACTAAAAATTGAGATATAACAATCACTCAAAATGAGTGATAGTTTCTGTCACATCACAGAAACAATCCATGTGTTATTTCTGTTAAAAAAACAAAAAAAACGATGCATTGTACACAATATATGCATAATGACAATCTCAACAAAACTATCGCAACTTCCAAACGACCCCTTAAAGCACAAATACTATATAACATAGTAGAAGTGCTCCTGTTTCACCCTAATCTGTAAAATATGTAATTTTCCCTTTAACGAAGAGGAGAGGAGAAGAGAGGAGACACTAGAGCATTCCACTTCGAGCATGAATCGTTGTTGGTGACTCCATGTTCACCATCAACAGAGGAGGCCTTTCAGTGTGAGTATATGTTTTGGTTCGATCAAGTGCAGTGGCAGATCCAAGAATTTTTTTATAGGGTGTCCTTTTGCAAAAATTAAATTTAATTAAAAATTAAATTAATAAATCATAAAATATCTGACTAGTGCAAATATCTAATATTAGACAATAATTCACTAACTGATCGCATATTCGATTTCTAACCTTGTTCTTGATGTAACTCAAACTTGAAAGACTCTTTCAACTCTTGCGTTATACCTATAAAATCAATTCAAATTAAGGATAGTTCGAATGAATTTAATTATTAGGTTTTGAAAATAATGGGGAATAAAGAATAGTGTTTTTACTATTACATAGTGTTTAAAATAGAACAACAAACGAGTTGCAACCTAGAGAATATGTTTAATAATAGTAGTGTCATAGGTTTGAATAACACAAAGTACTACTTATATATTTTTAATCATACACAAACTACTACCGAGGACAGGATAATTAATTTTTCAATATTTAAGGGTGTCCCGGATTACCAATTATAATTTTTTTTATCTATACGAAACTACTAATGGGGGTTGGATAATCGTTTTCCCAAATTTTAGAGGTGTCCCAGGACACCCCTAAAGACCCATGTATCCGCCACTGGTCAAGTGTGAACCGAGTACTGACCAGTGTATGGTCAGCAACCAAATACTGAATCACCTTCGTCATAGCTCAGTACGACTTAATTAAACTGCATTTAGGTTCGGATCAATTTGGAAAAACCACACTTGATGTCAACCCCCTTATCAAATAGAAATTTTTAGATTCAATTTTGGTTGGATGCAGAAACTCCAATCATTTACATGTCAATTTGTTATTGGTGTACTTATTTAACTTTTTTCTCAATGATTACTTAATATTTAATGTTCTTAATTATGCTAAATAAATCAAGAATTAAAATATAAAAAAGAAAGATGAACTCACTAATAGAAAACTGACATGTGGCTGGTTGGAGGTTTTGCGTCCAATCAATGTTGGACGCAAGAATTTTCCCATATCAAATGGTATTTTTTTACTTTGTCCCTTCTTTTTTTTATTGATCATATTAAATATATTTATCAACAAAGTTCTTAATATTTCTCTAACCAATTTATTAGGGTTATAGATATAATATGTCCCTCTACTATGCAGTTTTATCAAACATGTCTCTCTACTATTTTTTACATCAAATATGCCACTGTATTTTGTAAAAATGATCAAACATGCCCTTCTGTTAAAATTTTCTTCCAAAAACCGTCAACCATGGTCGAACCTTAGTTTGGGCGACACAAATGTCTAAAATATTCCTCATAATTTTCCTTTAGAATGGTTTGTTTCATTTGTATACCTAAATACCTCTAATAATTTCAGCTTAATGAGGTCCAGAGAAACAAATGAGGGAACAACTGACATTTTCACCCCAATGTTGCCAATGTCGGGTAGTGTGAATCTCGGTTTAATCGTGGTTGGCCATTTTTTAGTGAAAAAATTAATATAAGGGCATGTTTGATGAATTGATGTAAAAAATAGTAGAGGGTCATGTTTGATAAAATGATATACTAAAAGGGCATATTATACCTATAACCTTTTTTATCAAGGATAGACATGTTATTTAATATAAAAAATAGAATGTTTACTTTCATTGAATGTTAACAATCATAGTTACCAAACAATAAACATTTTAATATCTATTTTCAACAATCCGAAGAGTTAGAATCTTTAGATTATTGACAATTATAGATTTAGACTCATATTCTCCAAACAACCATTGATTATAGAAAAAGCTCAACTTAGATGTATAAGCATTTAGCCATAAGCTCGAAGGGTTGATTATTACCCATAAAATTACAACACGCTATGGGGCAAGTACTTATATGATGGCCAATGACAAAAGGTTGGTCACTTTTATCGACAGTGAATACTTGCGGTTTGCCTAGATCAACAGAATGGTCGTTGGCGGGCCCAGGTTAGCTGGATGGATAAGCCTAGTTGGATCCAGTTGTGGGAGGCTAACATTCCTCCGAAGTTGAAGGTATTTGTCTGGCAAATCTTTAATAGAATTCTGCCAACGACTGAAGCGCTTATTGAGCGAAAGGTTGTGGTTCCTCCTCATTGCCCTATTTGTTGGGCTGCTTCGGAGACAATGGAACATCTGTTCCTTGACTGTCCTGTGGCCAGGGCGCTTTGGGCTCAGTTTGGATTAGATTATCTTGGCGAAGGCTTGCCTCGACATACGTTCCCTCTCTTCCTGAAAAAGTTGTTGTCTATTATACATCAACCTTCACAATTCATGGCGGTGGTTGCTGTCCTTTGGAGGATATGGAGATCTCGGAACTGGTTTGTCTTTGAAGGTAAACAGTTCGAGATTCCCGCCTTAATGAGGCAGTATAACCAGCAGGTTGGGGAATGGCTCAGCTTACCAAGTGATCCTGAACCCCTCTCACTGTCTACTCGTATGACCCCTTCGGTGTAGTTGGGTGGGTCTGGGGGGCCTGTGTGTCGATGGGATGGGGCAGTTCCCAGGGGGTCTCACTCCGCAGGGGGGATGGTTATCCTAAATGAGGCGAGGGAGATCCTCTAGGCTGCTGGGGTCCAGTTCCCTTTGATTGATGATCCAATGGTGTTTGGAGCAGGGCTTTTCGGTAATGCAATTTGAAGGTGACGCCAAGGTGATCATTGATAAAGTCCGTTGAGCCGATGTGCGGGATAGTCGTGTGGGGACTATTTTGGAGGAGATTGTGCAGATTTTTGCGTTGAATTCGGGTTTCAGGGTGCGATTTGTAGGTCAGGGTAGATCATTTGGTAGCTAGACATACCCTGTCTTTGTTCTCGTCTACGTGTCGCTATTTTGATTTTCAGACCTGGCTGAATTCCAGGTTGTAACTATCTATTCATTCCAACCAATATACGATTATCTTTTGTAAAAACAAAAAAAAGAATGTTGGTGCCATGGTAAAAGAAATGCTGAAATCGTAAAATTAAGAGGTTGTTTGTTTCATGGATTTTGATGATTGATTTGGGTCTCATATTCAATTCACCAAGATTTTTGTGCAAATCCATTGTTTGTTTGAAATTTGTTGAGGGTTCAAATTTTTGGGCTCATAGATTTTGAGGGTTCCAGATGAACTCAAAGATCTCATATCAAGAGGAGTGATTTGCGATATGACCATAATTTGATGATCTAATAAAAAAACCATACTCAAATCTAATAAACAAACATAAAATCTTAGAAATTCACAATAACAACATATCAATTTTAAATCCAAAAAAATTCAAAAATTCCGATTCTACCATAACCCTTATTTTTCAAGTTAGTAAATCAAATCACCCCTAAATATCTAATATGGGTAAAATTGTGGTTTAAGCTTTGAATATATCGCCATGATTGAGGCATGATTTGCGTTGACATGGCATGAACCTAGCTTAGCTATAATTCGACCACTAGAAAATAGAAATGGTTGCCTCAATTTCACAAAGAGACATAAAAATGAATAAAGAATTTGATTGAATTTTGACTAGTCCAAGCACAACCCTAGAAGGAAGGGAAGAAAAGGCAAAAGGGCAGTGACTGAATTGCTGCTGCTGCATCCACCACCAATTGTAAAATACTACAGCCCATTTGTCAAGATAACGTTTTCTTTCTATTCCCCCTTTCTGTTTTTGCAAACCCTAAAACGTGACATAACAAGATTCGTTGCTGCCCTTGCCCCGCATAACTGCATTGCATTGCATGTGAGACCGATGCCTTCAGGCCCAGAGCCCAACAAAGCAGCCCTGACTTTGCCCACTGCACAGACACCTAAAAGTACATCTTTTACGCCAAAAATCTAGGTCTTAACTAACATGGTTAAAAAGAAACCAAACCAACATATCATCAAACTTTGTCGAAAATTGAGCAATCCAACGAAAGTAAACCAGTGGGTGGCGGTGGTAGTCAACTGTGGGAAACCCCAAAAAACCTTCATCCCTGGTAAAAACCGTTGGTGGTATGGCATAGTTATATCCGGCGGTTTCATGAAATGAGGTGGGTGTTGGAACTAGGCTGAAAGTTTGGTACGGTATTTGAGATATACATAATACCGTACTGAATTTATCACTATTTGATATTATCGAATACTGTCTTATTTATAAGGGATTAAGATTGAGATTCATTTTGGAGTGTTATTCGGTATTCGGGATTACGAGATTGAGATTGGTATATACCGAAATACGGAGAAATATCTAAAATTAAAAATTAATGAAATATAGCACATAAACTTTGATTATTTCTCACTCTTTCACAACTAAGAAGCCCTCATCCAACTCAATTTTGACTTTCCAGTTTATGTCACTTTCGTCTCTCACCTAATCTCTTATTATTTTTATTACACCAAAAAGCAAACACTAGTATTGGTCATCTCTATACCTCCAATTCGTCAAATTAAAGATTACCAATGACAAGAATTAGAGATGTCACCTCTCCTCCACTCTTCTTATCCATATCCTAGCTCTAGGCAAACTCAAGACTCATTGCTTAGTCTATTTGCCTTAAATTAAACAATCAAAACTAATTTTTATATTTAATTATTAATTGCAAGGGTAATTATTTTCGTATTTGATAATACCGATTCGCATGCCAAAGTACCGATTGAGATACCAAAATATTTAGGGATTGGGATTGATTTTAGGGTGTAATTCGATATTCAGGATTTGATATTGAGATACTAATACCCTACCAATTTCCGCCTTTAGTTGGAACAATACTGTATGTAACTTTGTAAACTAGCTTTGTACCCGACAGGGTGGCTTGTATTCTTCCAAATTTTCTATATAAACAAATCTTAAAGTTATTTACAACTAAAAATATATTATCTTGTACCAATGTGATGATTTACAAGGTAATTAATGCTTTTATAAGATCAGATTAATTATAATAATTAATGTTGTTTAAACTGGGCCTAATTGATCTTGACTTTTAAGTTTAAGCGCCTTAACCTCTTCGCAAGATGGACATCAGTCAATGAGGGACATGACTCTCTCGTAAGAGGCCATGACATGCCACAAGAATAATATATCATGGTCCTCAAGTCGCGTAAAAAAAACATACTAAGTCTAACAGGGCCATGGTCGTTTAGAGGTGCATGGTTGTCTCGCGAGAACGACCATGGGCATGACTAGGGGTGGAAATCAGTACGGTATCGGTATCCCAATACCAAATACCGAAATCCCGAATACCGAATTACACTCTGAAATCAATCACAATCCCAATCACTAAATAATTTCGGTATCCGAATCCCAATCCCTAAATATTTCAGTATCCCAATCGGTATCTCAGTATCCCAATCGGTTTTACCAAATACAAAATTAATTACCTTTGCAATTAATAATTAAATATATAAATTAGATTCTATTATTTAATTTAGGGCAAAGAGACTAAGCAAAGAGTCTTGAGTTGCCTAGAGCTAACATCTCAAGTTTTTGTAATTAGTAATCTTTAATTTGATGAATTTGAGGTTGAGAGACGACTAATACTAGTGTGAAATAGTAATGTAATGATCTATGTATAATTAAATGACACTCTTGGTGGTTGAGGGTCGCGTAGTAGTGAATGAGAGAGTCTAGTTGAGAGGATAAATTACACACTAGCTTATATTTCGGTATTTTGTATATACCAATCCCAATCTCGTAATCCCTAACGCTGAATAACAATTGAAACTCAATCCCGATCCCACAAAATAATACGTGTATTCGATAATACCAAATATAGACAAATTCGGTACGGTATATCCCAAATACCGGTACCAAACTTCCAGCCCTAGGCATGACTAAGAAGTCCATGGATGCGAAACAAGAGGAAACTGAACACGATTGAAAAATACTATGTATGAGAAGGTCATGCCCTGTCATGAGAGGGATCATGCCATAACAAGTCTCATGATCAAGACCGAATGCCCAAAAATATACTAAGTCTGAGAGGTCGATGGTTGCATTGCAAGAGGGGTTATGGGCATGAGTTATAAGATCCATGGTCATGAATAACAACTACATAGCCAAGAGACAAGAGGTTATATGCGCGAATAGGAGGACCACGACCCCCGAGATCACAAAGGGCACAAGGATGAGGCCAAGACTTAGCTACATTCCAAAACCCACAATACTTTCAAGAGAGGTAACTAGGCAATTGAGAGATGAACTGCTACTCATCCCACATTCAAGGGACACGCCAGCTGCGTCCGAGGGAAGAGGGGGCAGTTCTTTTTGGGAGTTATCCAAAGAGGCGATTTTCTATGATAGTTATCTTCATACGGCTATAAATAGGAGGAAGGGTCAACATAGAGAAAGATTCCACAACTAGACAATTGACGCCTGCATAAAGTTTATCCTTATTTCTCTACAAGTAGCCATTGAAAATGTCAAGTTATAATCCTAGGATACCCTATGATCGTATGCCACAAGGTTTTCTAATGCACAACTACTCACACTTAGGGGTGGGCATACGGTTCGGTAAAACCGAACCGAACCGAATATAAACCGAACCGAAATCGAATTAATGTTATTCGGTTCGGAATTCGGAAGAGAAAAGGGAATATTTCGGAAACCAGGGTCCTTTCGACCGAACCGAATTTCCGAATTCTTAACCGAAAAACCGAATTATTATAATTGCAAGCTCTAAATGGTGGATTTTTATGTTTCTACTTATTATTAGACTTAAATATTTGAATCATATGACTTATGTGTTGAAATGTTTGATTTTATCATTGATGATACATATTTATTGTTTACATTAGGGTGAAAAATAATTTAAAAAGAGAAAATACAAGCTAACTTCACTATTTCGGTTTTGTATGAAAAATCGAACCGAACCAAATTATAATTCGGTTTGAACCGACCGAACCGAATTATAATTCGGTTCAAATTCGGTTTGAGGTTTGATAGAATTCGGGGACCCGGTATGCATAATTTCGGTTCGGTTTGAACCGAACCGACCGAATGCCTACCCCTACTCACACTATACCATCTATGCTACACGAAATAGACAAGCATCTTTAGGAGTTTTTATTTAATCAACCAAAGGAAACAGAAGCAAGGAAAAATAAAGTTGTTTACGGTTTTTCATTTTATAGATGCATAAAAGTAAGGACTAATTCCACTAGAAAGCCCAAAATATCCTAAAAATGTCGTTTATGTCCTAAACAATTAAATATGACAAATTTAGCACAAACTATATGTGTTTCGTGACATTTGTGTCCTAAACTATTCAATATGATAAATCTAGAATCAACCACATAAATTCTGACTAGATTTTCTGTTAAATACTAACAGTCAACGCCGGTCAACATTAATGAAAATAGTTCGTGTCAGATTTGTCATATTGAATAGGTTGGAACACATATAACACTTTTTGAATAGCTTGGGCTTCCTAGTGGAATTAGCCCTAAAAGTAAAGATGCACTACTGTATAAGAAGGTAAATCTCAACTAAGATCATGTCATCATGCAGACTAAAGCTCAATCATATTATGCATCAATGACTCATATATAGAATCACTCTAACCCTTCCACTAAGGGTACTCTCTACTCGTGCATGTGCCTCTTGAAATAGAGATTCAACTAGTTAATGCGTGATGTTGCTTCATGTCGTTAGCTAATTAATGAAGAAGAAAGTTAGGATATCACATGATTAAGTGTGAGACTCTATGAGCCATAATCGATGGTCTATAGCATCGATGATGTAACAATCAATCATTGATACTACCCGAGATATAGATGGTTTATCATTCCCTTTATACTCGTGTAGCATCAATGACGTATCACTAGAGGATAATTTCTTAACAACCTGGATGATACTAAGCTCAATGAATATAGTAGCACACTATACAGACATAAGCATCGATGGTAAGAAAACATACTAGATAAATAACAATGATCATCACATGCATCAAA